TGTCAGAACGGTAGCCTGGAAATTTCCTGAGGGATTCAGGTACAGGCAGGGCCACTGCCTATGATCCACCTTATTCACCAAGCCCAGCAGTAGCTTCTGGGTCCAGTATCATGGTAAGGAATGGTTTCCCTGCACTTCAGGCTGCAAGCAAGTTCAGGTGATATTATTTGGGCAGTGTCTATCTGAAAAGAAATGAAGAGTCTACGGAGTCTTGAGACTCTAAAACTATTATTTAAAAGAAGTTAAAAAACAGGCCGGAAGAAGGAAGGCAACTCCTAATGGCAAATGCTAAAACAACTGACCTCAAATCAGAAAGAAACAAAACAAGAACTGTTTTAGAACGTGTCTTTGGACTGGCGTGAAGCTCAGTACCTGCCTCTGGAGTTGTGGCACTTGTTCCTTTCCATGATTTTTCCTCTAATAATCAATAACAGCACAACAATTTCGTCTCTCAATATTTTGAGGTAAAAAGCCCTCCAGGTATGAAACCAGAACTATTTTAGAAGAATGTGGTTCATATCTGGAGGTTTAATTACCTCTAAACTACACAATTTCTGCTCTGCAGGTCATTATCTTAGATTTTAGTCACAGGACATACGAAATCACAAGGAAAAAACCCTAGCTAGTAGGGTTCTCTTCCAGGTTAAGGCCAAAGTACCTGCCATACTGATACAGGTAGACCTGGCATGGCTGCCCAGCCAGACCCCAGAGTGACCATGCTTCTTCCTCTGGGACCTACAGCATGGACATGCGGGTGGAAGCACTTGCAGGACTGGTGGGCCTTGAAAGCCCTGTGACCGGGCACTGGGCCTTGTGGTCGGCACAGTGGACCCATGCATGGCCAGCCGCAGAGGTTGGCAACGGCCCCAGCCCCCAGCACAGGAAGCGGTGGAGATTGTGTGGTGGGCCGGCAGCATGCGCAGACTCCAGGGAGAAGCCTGAAGTCAGGCGGCAACCGGGAACAAGCTAAGCCGTGTGGGTGGTCAAGCTGTAGCAGCCTGCAGTTCCCAAAAGATGGGAGAAGGAACTCCAGGTGCAGCCTTGGCCAGTCTGGCAGAGGGTGGAGGGGTTTTTCTCTGGGTGTTCTGGGGGGATGGGCTATGAGGCAGAAGCCTGCCATTCTCCAAATTGTGTAGCTTTTGAATAAAAGATCTCTTTCCTTCTTCACCAAACTTCTGCCTCTGGATTTGCCTATCCTATGGGTGGTAGCAGGCAGTGAGCCCCACTTTCTCTTCGGTAATATTGGTTGCCTATATAGAATTTGCACACCACTGCTCTTCTCACCTTGGCATTTATCTGCTCTGCAGGGAACAAGACTAAACCCTGAAAGATTTGAAAGCAAAACTGGAAAAGCAGACAACAAGGCCTTTAAATACCTCTTAGGTTGCCTCAGCTAACACTGTTGTGCCTGGTAAAGAGAAAGCCTGGTTAAGTAAGTCACTAAGAGGGCAAAAAGGGAATAAACCTAAATTAGTGAATAAGATGAAAACAATCAGATGAAACTGGAGAGCTCAGTGACCTAGGAGAAAGAGCTAAACTGGACTCTATGATTAACCATCAGGGATTTATGGCAAAAATATTCGGTTAATATTTCTTCCCCAGCATTGTTCTGCACCATTCACCACCACTTTGGTGACGGTCAAGATGCTTCACTTTTATTATTCAGGAAGTTGGACTATGAAACTTATGTGATATTTACGATCATCTGACCTATTGATACAGGACAGAAGCTCATGGACCATGCAATAATCTTGGCCCTGCAGGAGTATAAAGCAGGTAGTTCAATGCTTATGGCATAACACAGAACTTAAAAGATGCTGGGGCCCTCCCAGCAAACATCTCCCAATTCCTGGCATACCTTGCAGCCAGGCAGCCCCTACTGTGGTTTGGTAAGGAGGTAATACTTTGACTAGCACTGATGGTGAGAAGAGGTGCTCTCTTTCTTACATAAACCCTTTTGATGCATTTATTGTGGCTTTAGGCTGCAGACACCCACGTCCTAGTTCTCCTGATGTTCAGCCACCATGAAACCTTGTAAGATTCTACAGCCAGACCAATTTCCATCTTCCTTTCAGCTACCCCAAGGCTCCAAACCACCACTGCTACTGACAGTGCAGCCCTGGCCCTGGCAACATGACAGAGTCAACAAAAGGACAACGGGCTCGGCTCATCAAACTATACCACAGGGCAAATAACAGGAGCATGAAAGAGCACTAAACCTGGGGCACCACACACAAAACTTCATCACGGTGAACACCCTTTTGTCAGTACAAATAAGACGAACACATATACTGTAACATACATATTGCCATGTCCCTCTGCCACTAGACCTTGCGTTTCCAGACTGTGGATCAGATTCCACCTCATTCCTACTTTAAATCTTCCTGTGTATGGCTCTCCCTCCTTTTGAGCACAGCACTCAGGTTCCTGCACAATCATACCTTTAACTTCCTTTTCTGGCCTTCAGGTTAACCACTGCACACCACTCGCCTCCCATGGTGAGTCAAACCATTCCAGAGCTGAACTGCTCAGCTTCTACGGAGATGGTAACTACACTAATCCTGCCTATAATCCAATGAAAACTGGTTGTCCTCCAGATGTTATCAACTCCATGATGACTAAATCAAGAGATTTAAATTGTTTTTCCAATAAAGAGCATATCACAAAGCTACAGGGATATTCATATTTATACTAAAGATAAAGAATGATTATTTGGCTTAATGAGGAAGTGTTTTAATAGCAAACTCACTGAGTGCTCTGTGAGATTTGATTTGCCAAAAAAAAAAAAATAATAAAGTTTACATACAAAAATCTTAATCATATATCCAATTCTGCTTGTGATACTTCTCATCAATATGGTTCACAATATATAGTATGTTTAATAATTTAGCATTTGTCTCCACTAACTCATCTCATGGGAGGAAGCACACATGCCAATGTTAAAAAAAAAAAAAGTAGAAGAGGAAGAATGAAGAGATGGGAGAAGTGTTTTATAATTTGTCAAGATACTAGGACTGGTGGCTCATTTTTATTTCATCGTTATAATTAACAGACTGAAAGGTACTCTGCAACGCTATTGCCTTTGAGCTGCTCTAGCCACATGTGCCCCCTGCACGACTCATCTTTAAGCAGGGACACAAGGGGCTCACCACAGGCACACACTGATCTGTGCTCAGGTGCTGCTTGAAGGATGCAGCTGGGGCCGTGGAGCACAGCAAGCTGAATGTTTCTCACAGATCGACAACGTCAGGGCCCTGGCCTTCTATCATTCGTGTTCTGTGTACTGCCAACCAAAGCTGTGTGCTCTGGGAGACAGAGGAGGCCAGTTACGTTCTGAAAAGCAAGAGAAAAACTAACATGTCTAGTGTGAAACTTTACAGTTTATATGACAGAGGAAGTAAAATCATCAGGAGACTAATTTGACTAATTTGTAGCTAGTAATAATTCTATAAAATAAAATGTAAACACTTGAACATATTTTTCATCATTAATTCATTACAATGTATTATAAAACACATGTATATAATTTTAACACTCATTGGTTTTAAGCACTGGGCCAAATGTACTAGAAAAGATTATGAAAACAGTAGTATGCCCCCATCATTTCAAAAGGTAAAACCAGAAAACATAGAAATTATAGAGTAGAAATAATTTTCATAAAAAAAACTTTGTTAAAAATAAAGTTATAGTGACACATATTTATTAGAAATCTTAATCAGCCCTGAGTTCAACTAAATAATAGTAACATTGTTTTAGAACCCTTGCTATGGTTTGGGCACTATTCTAATAATACCACCTTGTTTACTTTTCCACACAATTCTGTGAGGTAAAAAGAATTACCATGCGCAATTTACAGATGGAAGGACAGAGTAAGTAATCTGCTCAGGGTCATATAACCAGTAAATGGGGGAGGTATTTAATTGACCTGACATTTCATACAGATTACTGAAGGATGACTGTATGGATACAAATATGCTAAGGGAAATGGCTTTAAAACTATATAGATATATCCATACTACCTATGTTTTAAAAGCATCAATTTTGTGCTATTTTCCTTGCTCCAAGCCTACTCACAGGTCTACTTGTTAGTAGTGGACGTCACTTAAGCGGAATCTTACATGAGAAAAATCCTTGATTAATAACAATGGAAAAGATAGTGATTGTTTGTTTTATAAAATTACCATTTGTCATATATAATTCATTTGATGTGCCTTTAAATAGCAAACTATCAATGCCAGGTGGAACGCATACATTAAGGATGTAGCTTTCCTTATGGTAGAGCTGGTTGACCTAAATCAACCATATTGATAAAATCATATAATAACTAAATTAACTAAACACTTTAAAATTTAAAGTACCTGCCATTGCCCATGGGAATTCTGCCTCAGGTATGGCCTGGTATGTATAATCAAGGTATGATATCTTATTGTAGTTACTGTTAAACACGAGGAGGAGTGGTACCATATACTCCTAATTGCTAGCTAGTCTTCCTTTTAGATATATTAGCTGGTGTCACATGTCTAGCAACTAGAAACTAGAGTAGTTTTTATGTGTGGCTAATAAAAATCATTCTCCTTATTTTAGAGTCCCATACCTCCCATACAATACTTTATCACAATATTTAACTCACCGACTTACATGTTTCACAAGAAATACAAAATTGAAACAATTTACCAGTGATGACCTGCACACAGATGAAAACTTCATAAAAATCAATTTTCGGCCTAAGTGAGTTTGTGTAGTCCCTCGTCTACCACTGTGTTTGCAAATAATGGAGGCATTTAATAAATACTCAGTTGTTTAAAAGCAAAATTACACAGATACCCGTTTGGTATTCAGTTCTTTCTACTTCCTGAAGACATAAGGAAATAGACCACTTTCATATGAAATATGTACTTACATCAAAAGAAGAGTTGACTGAAATGAACAAACTGATTATGTTGGTGTTCTTAAAGAGAAAGAACCAGAAAGGATTATGTGTTTATAAAGAAGCTGCTTACCTTACAAACAGAGAGAATATTAACAGTTATCAGTTTCTTGATGATCTGCAAAAAAATATTGATTATTTTATATAGATTTGATCATGGAAATGACCGTGTTATATATTTATTTATATGAATGACCTGGAGATGCATCGAAAATTTCCCCAGATACAGGAGAGACCTTGGGAAATAACAGGAACTGGGATGGAGAGACAGATTTTATTATTAAACTCTCAGCATTATAGTACTTTTCTACCAAAAGTAGCAATTTATGCTAATGTGCAAAATCCAAGGTATATGTGCAAGTAAAATTTGAAAGCAAAAGACACACATAATCTAAAATAAATATGAACCCTCGTAATTTCTTCTCTGCTAGTACAGGAAAGGAGAAATGATTGAAACTAAGATTTTCAACAATTTAAAAAAATGTTTGCATGTTCCTTCTTCCATGACATGTTTTTCTAGTCTTTATTAAATAATTATGCATGTATCAAGGATATAGCTTTCATTTTGGTAGAGCTAGTTTACCTGAATCAACTAGTATATTGCTCTATACTAACAACTTTATGATTTTTAAATTGATGTTTAGAATCTTAATACTTAAAACAGAACTGTTTTGATATAATAAAAATAAGAATAAAACTAGAGCTATTATTGATCCTGGTACTATACAAATGAGGTCATAAACATTTTCTCATTCAGTCCTTCTAACATCCCTATGACATCTATGTTATGGGCAAGGGAATGGAAACTAAGTATGGTTGAGATCACCTTCAGAGTGACTCAATTAGCAAGGAGCAGAGCCAGGGCATGACTCTCAGGCAGCTCGACTCCAGGGCTCACAGTCTGAGCCGTTATACCACATTGCCTCCCCAATACCGGTATGCATTCCTTTTGTTACCATGATATACAAAGAATTACTTACATTGTCCAAGTCAGGAACTTCCAAAAAGTATTCAGGATACTCATATGATATTCCCACGTTGTTCACTGTAATAAGACAAGATCATTAGCCTGCTAATATATGTATTTTACAGATTTTCTTTGAAATGCTGGGATTAAAGATTTCAATACTAAAATTACACATACAATGACATAAAATACAGTATGGCTGGAGTGAGCTTTCCCACACCTTTCTAACCCAAATCTATCCATGTATGTGCAGTTCAAATGTCTCCTCTGTCATTAAGCCTTTTTGTACCTGCTACCCAAACAAATGAACTTATATTCACCTTCCAATTTCCATAGCCCCTTGGTGTATGTCTATTCTGCCTCTGTAATAACTATTTGTAGATATTGCTTAGCCTGTCTCTAGATCTTAACTTTACATAGTATAGTAGAAAGGGCAGAGAGTTCTGTAGTATAGGAGACCGGAAACCTGAGTTCTACTTATAACTTTCAGAAAACATGTGACTTGGGTTATGTCACACAGAACATGCATGTTCCTTCATCTCTAAAATGAAAGCTCAATCATCCAACAAAACCAGAGAGAAATGTCAGTTTCTGGCGTCATGGAACATACAATCAAGTAGGAAGAGAAAGGCACTAAACTAAAAGAATTAAAACCATTATTTCATAACAAAGTACAGGATGCCATGGAAGCTGATGCCTGAAGAGTCTGAGTTTGTCTGGAAAGTGAGAAAAGACTTCCCTGTGGAGGGCAAGAGAGCAGGCTTAATGTCTCTAGTAAACCATCCTTCCCTACCAGCCCATAAGGTCTTGAAAGTCCAAGCCATGTTTTCCTGTATTCCTACTCCTCAATCACTAATCTAAGATTGGGGCTATAAGATAATAGAGAAGCTACAAATAAACATATTAATATAATTGGGTTCATGATTAATATTCAGATATCCTACGGTTTCCTCAGCCCTGTAAAGACAAAGACAAACCCAGAATAAGGAATATTTGCAGGAATCGTATAAATAAAATATCTTTGAACTTGTTTTAACCAAATAAATAATAAAATAGATTCTCTCTTTCTCTCTCTCTCTGTATTTAATCATCACAACAACTACATTATCTCCCTTTTACATGTGAGGAAACTGAAGTTCACAGCAGTTAAATAACTCACCCAAGGTCACAGAGAAGGAATTCACACTCAGGAAATTTGACTTCAGAGGCCAGGCTCTTAACCACTACATTAGAGCCATCATCTGCCTTCATCCAGTATTCAGTTCAGAAAAAAATATCAGTAATAATTGGATGATAAACAGAAATCTGATAGCAATGTTTAATAAAACTGTGAAGTATTAGAAAAGAAAGGTTTCAGTAGCAAGAAGATAATGAAATTATGATCAGCCTGCTAAAGCTCATAAGGAATTGTGCCAGATAAACCTGATAGTAGTAATAGTAACTTTTTCAATAGACTAACAAAATTAGTAGCTCGAAGGAACTCAATAAGGGTTCTATATTTAGCAGTAAGCCAGTCAGTCACTTGAGGCTGTGTGTCTCAAGATGTTACTTGCACAGTTTGGCCAGGATGGCCTGAATAAGACCAGTGAAACTTGTCTGAAAATCTGTAAGCAAAGGATAATGGCAAAGTAAACTGCATTTAATTAGGATTCATGCCCATCTGAAAAGAAACAGTATCTAAACATAATTAATAATGGCAGGTCCAAATCTATTTTTATTTTATTCAATAGGTTCTCTACTCATCAAGGATTCTGGGAATCAATTCTATAAAAGCTCTGTTAACAACTAAGCCAAAAATAGTTGAAGGTGAGGCTTTATATTCACTTGACTTTGGTTTAACTATCTTCAGAATTATAAAGGATGAATAACATTTACAGTATGACTGAGAGAAAAAGCAACACCCAAAATATCTGTTAAAATATTCTTATTTTACAAAATATTCTTTACAGAGTCAGTTTAAGATAACAGAATCCTTCAAGAAAAGTTTGCCAAATTATAATATTCATCAGGATTTTTAAAAAACTTCCTTGACATAGCAAATTCCATCTCCCATCGCTTTCCCGTATCTAGAGAAATTTTTATCTTCAGAGTCCTTTCTAGCACATGGAAAAATTAATCATCTATTTCAAAATACTGAAGAAAATTGGATAGTGTAATTATAAATCTTTTAAAACTCACATTTGGGCTTAAAAAAAAAAAATCTGGGAACTTTGCACGCAGTATAGTACACTTTGCAATGTGCAACACATACTACAAGTACCAAGTCCAGCTAAGGAAGCACACGAATAACTGAATAACTAAGCAAGCAGGAAGTTTTATTGTGGTTAAGGCTGCTTTAATGATAGAAAGTTTTCAGATCTGTCTCTGCTAATTGAGCAAAGGAAAGCTATCAAAGCTATCTACTCCCACAATGAGAACACATGAACAGCTATTTAACACAGCTCTGAAAGAAAACCTGGTCAACGCTGAAAACTTCTACCCAAATAAATTAATAGTATCATGTATAAGGACTACACTTTAATAATAACAACCGCCACCAAAGAACCACACACACAGAGAAAAATGTTAAAGCTGAAACAGATCTTTCAAGAATACTGAGCCCAACTTTATGAGGGAAGTACATGCCAATGTCACCCTGGCAAAATGTCCTATCACAGCGATTTTCAACTGGTGCACGGCAAGAATTTTTAAAACGTGCAATACTTGACTATTTATTCAGGGGCACTGACCTCTTTTCCCTTAGATTGTCCAAAAAAAGAAAAAAAGAAAAAAGTGCTAACAGCCAACACAACAATAGCCGTGCAGGGTGAATGAATCGAAATTATATCTATTTTTGGTCAGATTGGCAAAAAATGTGTTTGTGGTGTGTCTCAGAATTTTAGCAATTAGTTTATGTGCACCACGAGATGAAAGAGCTTGAAAAATCGCTGTCCTAGAGTAGGGATTAGGACTCTTCAATCCCTTCCTGCTTTATTAGTTGCACCTTCTGCTAGTGGAATATATACTGCCATAATCTCGCAACAAGTAACCACTTCGGGGTGCTATTATTTAAGGATATAGAGGAAAAACAACTGTTGCTCTCAAATAGTTATTTCCCAGAAAAGGCACAATAGAGTGTGCAAATCTTTTGGAAAGGGCAAACCCACTGCAATTTTATTTTAAAACATTAGGTGGCAGCAATAACCAAATGCCAGGACAGCTTTCAGGGAACTGGAAAAGGAAGAAAACAGGCTTAGGGTAGGAGTTAAGAATGGAAATATTTCCATTATAATTTAATCTCATTAAGAATGGTTGCATGCAATGCCATCTTTATGTATTACAGGATTCATTACAGAATCCACCAAACCAAATGGCACAAGTTATTCCTACATTATTCAGATAGTTGAAACCCCTCCTAAATGGAAGCATTTTAAATTGGCATCAAATAGCTTTTCATTAGAGTTGTTTTTTTTTTCTAATTCTGCAAGTGAGGCACCAGAGACAGAGTTAACATTTTTTTATGCAATGACCTGCAAAACACTTTTACTAGCGGAACATACCATGTCTTTCAGAAAACAAAGGATGCCTGCGTAACTCAGAATTTCAACCACTACCCCAGTAATCATCACAGAACTGTGAACAGATATAAAATCTCTCCCATCAGTTTCATCATTGGCGTTCTAAGATTGTGAAGAGCTCAACAGAAGAGACGAGACAGACAGAGAACAGAGGTGAAGAGAGACTAAGAACAAGGACAAGGTAAGTGGAAAGAGGAGGAGGGGGCAGGCAAAGGCGCAATCCTAATGGTGGTAGTTCTCACAGAGAACTGCCAGCACACCGGCTCTGCGGGGCTCTCCGTGGCCCCATCCAAACTTTTGAAAACACTAACAGGCAAGTGTTGTATTTTAAAGACTCAGGAGATCCACCACGTAATTCTGCATGTTATATAAATACTCTAATTACATGTTACTACACTTTAAAAATCACCTCCACATCTCATACCTAAAAGGAAAAGAACATACTGAAGACTTCTATTTCTTCTAAACTCATTTAGTGCTGCTTCTGATCTACTGGACTTTTAGAACTCTTTATCAAAACCAGCTGCTACTGAGGTAATGATGTCATTAGAAAATTATTAGATTTTCAGTAACTGAGTGGGTATGAGGGAGGAAAAGCAACAATAAGGACTAGAAAATAAAAATCCTTTTTTTATTTTCAAACACAATAATAGATACAAGCATCCACACGCACATCACTCTGAACCTATTGCTTTTTCCAGGCTAATTAGAGACATAAGAAATTAAGGTGATTTAAAAAATACATTGTCTAATTGTTGGGCTTCCCAAAATATATCGAATAATGCAAAGTACTATTTCCTTCTCATCAAATCAAAGTGGAAAATGTTAAGTCTACATTTCAGGCACATTTGTAGTTATATGTACTAATCCAGTTCTAGCACTCAAATTAAAGGCTAGAGAAATGGAAAACCTATTAGATTTCATTAATAAAAATGGATTAGAAAAAGTGCTTCCACTTCAGTATATTTCAAAATAAACTAATTTTTTAAAATGTAGGACTCAGTAACAATGCATGTACCAAAAGTGGGGGGAAATGTTCTATTTTAACCTTTTGTACTGAAAGGGTGTAGATCTCAGAGTTCAATAGATGCAGGTTTTAGTCCTGGCTCTACTACTACTAGCTTCTAACAAAAGGCAAGTGATTTTACCTCAAAAATCTGTTTCCTCATTGTCCATATACAGGTAGAATAGGACTAACCATTAAAGAATTAAAGAATAATATGCAAAAATCTTTCACTCAACCCTGACACATATTAGTAAGTTAGTAAACAGAGGAAGAGTTGTCATTGTTGCATGGTCATTCAGTCAACACGTGCTACTGAACTCCTATTTTGCACCCAACAATATTCTAGGTGCTGGGGATGCAGCCAGACAGCCAAGGTCCCTGCTTCGACTATACTATGACCAGCATCCAGGTGGGAAGGTCCTTCTGAAAGAGAGCTCTGGGCAACAGTTCGCCAGAGTCACTGTTTATACTAAGTTTATCCCAATTGCCTCGCCACCCTCTTTATTTCACTCAAG